GCTAGATTTGGCGGGGAAATTTTTTCCGCTAGATTTGACGGGGAAATTTTTCCGCTAGATTTAGCGGGGAAATTTTTTCCGCTAGATTTAGCGGGGAAATTTTTTCCACTAGATTTAGCGGGGAAATTTTTCCGCTAGATTTAGCGGGGAAAGTTTTTCCGCTAGATTTAGCGGGGAAATGTTTTCCGCTAGATTTAGCGGGGAAATTTTTTCCGCTAGATTTAGCGGGGAAATTTTTTCCGCTAGATTCAGCGGGGAAATTTTCCGCTAGATTTAGCGGGGAAATTTTCCGCTAGATTTAGCGGGGAAATTTACCCATAATGCACCGCGCAGTTACGCCGACGGCGACGCCAACGGCGACGGCGACGGCGACGCCGCTCAAGCCGGAAACGGGCGCCTAAGAGCTGCGCTCTAAAAGAAATAAGCCCGTAGCAGACAACGCGTAACCTCAACAGGGCTCGGCGCCCACTGCATTGCGTCAAAATGGCGGTCGTCTCCTCTTTGCTCCCTTCTTTCTCTCTTGTCTTTCTGCACCCTCCTCCCTTCCCTTCACTTTTCTCCTCTCCGGCGCCTTCGTTGCCACACCCACTGGCCTAACTCTCCCAATATACGGCTCTGACGTCGCCTATCTTCATAGTGTTCTAATTTTTGTAAATATTTCATTTTTAAGGAAAGTCAGGAGAACAAGATCAACAAGGATGTCGCTCCCACAAGACATGTTTGTTCCCATGAGAGAAATTGAGAGGATAGAAAAGAGCACGAGACGGCAGGCGACAAGACTTATGTGGCGGGAGGTTCGCTACGGCAGAATAACTGCTTCCATCATCAACAAGGTTTGTGAACTAATGACATTCGCTCAATTTTCGTAAGTGCCAGCATGCCAAGCATGTGCCCTTTACAGGTGTGCACAATGCGAGACACTGCATCCCCAAAGGCCATCCTCGACCTCGTTCTACTAAGAACCCCGCCACTGACCACCGAGGCCATCCGCTGGGGTGTCGAGAAGGAGCCCGAAGCCAAGGAGACATATCAGAAGTTCATGGAGACTTGCCACAGCGACTTCAGGCTTTGCAGTGTTGGGTTCGTGATCGATAAGAAGGTTGTACCTGCTGCCATTATTCTTCTCTTCGTGTTTGAGTGTGCAAGGACAGACAAAGCTTGCACAACTTTCTTAATTTATATCTTAATCAGCGGGTGCCAATAACTGAAGCACTCTTCCCTTGTTCCATTTCACAGCCTCACAAGGAGTTCTAACTGTTGTATATTAAGGCTCGTTCACACACTTGTAACCGAGAACGACCGAGAGACACAGCCGGTTTTTAAGCCTCTTGCGACGTCTTAGGACCAGCTCTGCAGCAGCACATGCAATCCCAAGACGTCGCAAGAGGCTTAAAAACCGGTCTAGTCTCTCTTCGTCCTACTCGGTTACAAGTGCATGACTGAGCCTTGAAGGGGCGTCCACACCGGAATTGAAAAACATGCACGACTCCCGACTTTTGTTGTGACATAAACCGCATCGCAGGAAAGAGAGACAAAAGCCTGGGCTCACCCTCTTTCAATTGGTTTGGGAGAGGGCTCTCTCAAACCAGTCCTTTGCTCATTGCAGTTGCTTAGAACCAAACTGATTAAATGCAAAACTTTCCATGTTTTGGTCTTCTGAAAGGAATAGTGTGCTTAGATGGGCCAGTTAATACATTGCAAAGGGTATAAAGCGCCGTAGAAACATGGACCGAGACGCGAAGAAAACGGCATGGGGCGCACTGTCAACTGAAGTTTATTCGAAAAAGTACACGCTATTACTCCCAACAGGAATGCACAGTCATCAATCAATCCCTGCGCAGCTCACGTTTTAAGTACTCCTACTCATCCATAGATGGGGCCAAAGACTGTTCCCTGACGCACTTGTTTCCCCTAGCCCTAATCTCAAAAGCCTTGTGTAGTTTGTGTGACACCTTGTTTTTGTATTTTGCCAAAATCTTTGTGCTTTTGAATGATGGGGCGCAAGGGCATCTGCTGCAATGAACAGCGAGATGCCGTGATGCTTTCGTCCTCGTGGAAGCTGCGTGTTCGCGAGCTTGATCATTAACACACATATTTGCACTACATAGCTTAACCCACACGTCATCGGGATCTTATACACGCTGCCAGTCGTGCACTCTGTGTACTTGTCCCTATGTCTAGTGTTGCACGGGTCTATGAACGGTTGGGGATTATTGATTCTTCGGCATAATCGCGACATCTTGTTAGGCGCTGAAAACACAGCCGAGACATTGTATCGCTGAGCCTCCTTCTTAAAATTGCGTGCGACGCCGTGCATATATGGAATAACCACCATTTGATGGGGGAATTTATGTGCAGAAGAAGGGAATTAGCATCGGTGCCAGTGTTGCTTCTGTTTTGTGCAATATTTTTTTAGGTGTGCGCAGAAAGGCTATTTCGGAGAAATTGATAAAGAGTGAACTACGTTGATGATTTCCTCATCCTCGCACCCACAATCGGTCCCTCTAGTTGTGGGGAGGTGCTAAAGGTAATTAAATCATGTTTCCACGGATTGTCTTTCACTCATGAAATACCTAAAGATGGAATAATGCAATTCCTCGACCTCAAGCTTAGTTTTTTAGGGGAGCACATTTGCTGGACGTATGCACATAAGTCAAAGAAGGGGATTCTTTTTTACGACTCCTGTCATTCAAAGCTCGTGAAGAGAGATATTGCGAGCTCGTGTTTAGAAGCGTCGCTTAAGAAGTCCTGTCTACGCAGCGCACAAGGTAGCTTTGTGAGACGGGTAGACCGATTGCGGAGGGGGGATTCCCAATGAGCTCATCGGTCGAGGTAGCCAGGAGCCTGATAAGGAAATTTAAGACATCACAGAAACCATCCTGCGTCATAACACTTCAATGGCCGGTGGTTATTCTATATATGCACGGCGTCGCACTCATTCTTAAGAAGGTGGCTCAGCGTTACAATCTCCCGGTTGTGTTTTCAGCGCCTAACAAGATGTCGCGATTATGCCGAAGAATCAATAATCCCCAGCCGATCATAGACCCGTGCAGCACAAGGCATAGGAATAAGCACACAGATTGCACGATTGGGGTCGTGCATGAGATTCAGATGACGTGTGGGTTAAGTTGTGTAGGGCAAACAGGCCGCTATGTTAATGATCGGGCCCGCGAACACGCAGCTTCCACGAGGACGACACCGTCAGGGCATCTCGCCGTTCATTGCAGCAGATGCCCTTGCGCTCCATCATTCAACAGCACAAAAAATTTGGCAAAATACAAGAACAAGGTTTCACGCGAGCTACACAAGGTTTTTGAGATTAGGGCTAGAGGAAACAAGTGCGTCAGCGAAACGTCTTTGGCCCCATCGACGGATGAGTAGGAGTACTTAAAACGCGAGGTAGGCAGAGAATGATTGATGACTGTGCATTTTCCTAGGGAATAATAGCGTGTACATTTTCCAACGTACTTCAGTTGAGAGTGCGCCCTGTGTCATTGCTTTCTTTGTCTCGGTCCAAGTTTTTTCAGCACTTTATACCCTTTTATGAAAGGAGATTGAAAAAAAAATTACTGTAAAATCCCTTTTGTGGACTGGGGGCCCAAATAAAGTGCTTGCGCAGTGTTCAAGCCGATCACAATGCTGTACCATCATGCTTGAAAAAATCACATCGGAGAAAAGAACCTCCTGGCTCAGCAGCATTGCATGTGAGCAGGCTCGTGTTACAATAGCGTCAGTATGCCTGCATAAAGGGCATAACATTCAACCCTTATATTGTTTCGTGGCCCCTTTAAGCTTTCAGTTCGTGCCTCTGTGTGAAATTTGAGGGGTTCCGTATATATCATACTAAAGCTGTTATTATCACTATGCTTTTTTTTTTCTATTTGGCGGTTTTACTAGGATAACTTCCTTGGCGCGTCCCCCGACGGGATCTGGACGTGCAGCTGTCATGGGGTAGGGACATTGGAAGTCAAGTGCCCGTGGACACTGCGCCATGATGACTCTCAAGCCAAGGACTATGAGTGCCTCACCGCTGACTTGCAACTGAAAGAGTCGCATCGGCATTTCATGCAGGTGCAGACGCAACTGCATGTTTGCCGAAAAGAATCTGCACACTTCTTTGTGTGGACTCCAAATGACTACAAGCTAGTAGTCGTACCCATTAACAGGGGACTTTATGCTCCTGTTCTGGAGAAGGCACGATCATTCTGGGTCGATCATGTCGTACCGGAGCTAATGTAATAGGTTGAAAAATCTGGTGCTGAAGGGGCACTGAAGTGTTTTTTTATAAAAGATTGTTTTTGATATATTGTTGAAAAGGTGTTAGTTATACATACATAAAATTCTAGATTACAAAACAGGATATCCACCTCGGGGCAATAGAAAAACTGCGGACTATTTTTTTCAATTTCTAGACCAATGAAAGTCCTACGATACGTGCAGATTCCGAACGATTTTATTATAACTCGTTTTGAAAAGAGTCGGATAGGTACACATTCAGATAAGACTCCACTTTTTCACCGCGGGCGCAGCCATAGCTTGCAATTTGCTAACAAGCGCCCTTTGCCGACCACTTCACTTGTAAGAAACTCTCACGAAAAAGGCCGTGTCACAATCTTTTAATATGTTTTTAACAAGTTAATCGGCCATGCACAATGGTAATTTAGGGATTATTTGGGCGCTTAAGAGCATCTAGGTTGAGTTGTCACCACAAAAGGACGATCTCAGAATCGACTTCAGTGCCCCCTTAACAACTTCCCGCAATTTCAGAAACGGATGGCTAAGGAACATTGTAATTTTATTTTTGTTCATCTTTGTCCTATTTCGTGTACATAAATGTTTCAATGTCTGTTACTCTGCTAAGTTCCGTGCTTGTTTTGTATGGTTCCTGAAAATGTGACGTTGAGTATCACTTGTAATTTGCAGATCTGGAGTTCCTTTTTTTATGCTGTGTACATGCATATGATGAGTTTCTTTTCTAAAAGAGCCAGGTACATACAATGTGAAAGTGAAATAAACGTGGATGTTTGCATATCCGATAAACTTCGAGCCCTGTAGTGGACAGAATGATAGGCCGAGTGGAATTAAACAACAAAACCTTTATTTGTGATTACATGACAAGAAATAAAAAGTTCTGTCAGGAAGTACACAGGTGCAACTGCCTTCTCCAAAGAAATACACACAAATTAAACCTGGAACAATTGATATGCTTGCAGTAATGTAATAACAAATACAGAAAATTGTCAAAATAAACGGACATGCCAACTACTGGTGCAAAAGCTGATGTGTCCCAAGCAATTTCCTGCGGACAGCACCGTGGGATGGTACAACCTCATTCAAGAGAGCCTTGATCTTACTTCTTAGTTTAATGTGTCGGAGGAAACAGGAATTTAAACTGGGGCCTCAATAAAATTAAATTTATATTAATGCAAAACCACTAACTGTCCCATGGAGCAAACCGACGTCATCAGCTTTGAAGCCGTGCCAACAGCACCTAAATTCCCCTGTCCCAATGGAACAAAGTGAAGTCTCAATCTGATGGATTGCGACTTCACTTTGAAACTATTGTGCGCCAGCCCATTGGCTGGCGCACGTTAGTTTCAAGGAATGAGGATCCCACTGGCTCTCACGCGGCATAGTTCCAAACCATGCCACCAGAGAAGCCCTCTCCATAGCGGCGCAGCGAACGCAGCGGCCTAGCCCCCGGTAACAGGTACGGGCCTGGCCGCACAGCCTGCTCGGGTAAACTTCAAATAGGCTGCACGGCCGAGCTGAGCGTGGCCCAACCACCGCACGAATCGCGCATTTGGCCGTCGGCCGCCCCCTCGGCAGTAGCCAAATGTGGCCGGCCACGCCACTACACCGGAGACGAACGAACTAAGGGAGCGGAAGAATGACATTCACGCTTTCGCATTCACAACTCGTAAAAAGTGCTTAGGTGTCCTGACTTTTTAAGGCCTACTTAAGTTTTTCTGAATTGCCCAAATTCCATTACTGCAAAGAGAGTGATCGAAGCATTTTTTTAAATTTTGTCCTACACTAATAGTCCACACAAACATTCATAAACGCATAGGAAAAGACGCATTCGTCTAGAAAAGCATAATTAAATAACTGAAGTAATTTGTACTAGGTAGCTGATCTAATTCATCAACTGCATGTAGAAAAAGAAATACAGTGGCCAACCGATTTTTTTTACTCTGCCGGGAGTCGGAATAATTGAGCAGTCCGAAAATGTGGGTCTGAACAGCAGCCCTGGGTTACTGGTGTTGCCACGCCGAAGTCCGAATATTCAGGAACTGTACCGGCATGCATTTGTGTGATCACTACTGCTTCACACACCAAGAAAAGATAAGTTGGCACATTTTGACAGCTGATTAACTTTACGCTGCCTAGTAACTCACACAATTTAATCTTTTAAAAACAAGATGCTACTAATTTGGTATTTAAAGTGTAGGACAGCCACCGTGTGTGCCTGTTTACAATGCAAGTAACTTGCTAGTCATTAAAAGAGTAAAAGGCAAAAGGTTAGCTACCAATTTGAGTAAAAAATGTAATTGTTGCTGGCTAAAAGGTTCGTACTGCATGTACCCCAAAACAAAACACAAATGTGGTTGAATCTTGTAGAAAGGACTTGAAAAGAGATCTGGTAGTTTCAACAATTGCAGCTGACATATCGCTAAGAGACCTAGCTTCCTTGGAGAAGCTAGATCTCTAGTGAGATGTTGGCTGCCACATTGAAACTAGCAGGAGGCTCCTTTTCAAGAACCATGCATGTAGCAGGTTTTTCAAGTTCCCTGCCTTGACCAGCAGAGTTCACGCATCATGAACAGTGCCTACAACAATTTGCGCTTCAAGTTCGTAATGCCAGAACATATGAGCAGGATGTTGGTGGCATGTCGCAGCAGCGTTATTGGCAGTCTGTCTTGCAAGATCCTAAAAACCTTAATACGACCGATGGCTCGCTCTACGTGGATCCTAATCTTTGACATTTGCCGCGCAGTCTCTACTTCCTGTGCGGGAAGCTGCCGCTTGCCCCTGGTGAATGCGGGCACAACAAGTGTTGCTCCCACCCTACCTATGTCCTCACGAATGAGGAATCCACGGTCGGCTAAAACAGTGTCTCCACTCTCAAGCTTATCAAGCAGGCTACTTTTCTGAGTGAGCTTTTTGTCCGATACCCTGCCTGCCCACGCCTTAGAGATAAAACTCACTGCACCACACGGCGTCACTCCTATTAGGAATTTGATAGTGTTAGTACCCTTGTAGTGTGAATATGTTTGTGAGCGGGCAGTGAATGAGAGCGGTCTTTGAATTCGGCATTCAGAGCAATCTACAATGACGCTACATCGTGGGTAGTGCCGGTGGACAAGGGTTGGCATCGTTCGAGCAATGTCTGGTCGTGTGGGCCATATGATGAACTTCGAAAAAATTGTTGCGAGCAAGGGAATGAGGTTAACCATTATGTGTGCGACCGTCCCCTCCGACACATTGAAACGAAAAGCTAGATCTCGGTTGAGCAGTGCAAGACGGAATTTGGCCAACACCATGAGCACGGCATCTCCCAGGGACACAGTGCTTGGCAGGTATTTTGTGCCCTCTTGCATCAACTGTACAATAAGAGCGAAGAGGGCAAGGCTCGGCAGGCCAGTGTAGAATTGGACTGACGATTCGGTCAGCTGGTCGGAAGAGCAGGTGGTTACAGGTCTGACCTCCATGCTTCGGAGGAGAACTGCATTATCGGACAGCAGCTTTGCTTCTTTGTGTTTTAGATGAAGTACCTCTTTCTGCAGTGCTTCAAACTTGGAAGCTGGAAAGCATGCCATGTGATGCATAAATGCTTGAACAGACAGTTTTTAAAAAATCTCCCACATACTTACAGCAGATAAAGCAAGGAACAGTCACCACCACATCTGTTTGGGCCGAGTTCTCCGCCGTGTGTTTGCTGGAGGCTGGAAAAACAATAATATTAAGGGCAAGAAATCAGAAATAAGCATGTATGAAAGGGAAGATGCATCTTGCATTAGTAATCTAGTAATGTCCGAATGGTTTGTAGATGACATGCTGAGCTGCACCACAAAAGTAAAAAAGAAACCCGTACCACTAGAACTATCAGATGTTCCCAAAGTATGGCGTTCGACATCTTTTTAACAGAAAATGGGAGCAGATGACTGGAAGTTGAGATTCGTGTAGTGCTTGGGGGAACAGGTACCCTTGCGAGTTATTTACCACACTTTAGAAAGAAATTACGTCTCGATTAGAAACAAATTACCTGAACTGTTAACTCTGGTGACTTCATTCTTTTTTTTTTATGTTTGTAATAAATGCTCGAAATCATAAGAAAAAGTGTAATTGTGATTTTTTGAAGCCAACTCGATGGTTATGCCATGAGATGTTAAAAAGTAGAAGCTTGATGATTACTTACGAATGAATGAATAAGATACAAAAGGCATACAGGGACAAACATTCATTTTTAGGAACAATGTTTAATTTTGAACACAAATTTTTTTGCAGTGCTCTAGATTAACATTCAGATATGGAAAGGGTAAAGTAAAGGAGAGAATGAAAATGAGGGTTCAGTTGTAGTGACTATCCAGTTTCAGGAATTTTCCAGTTAGGGCTTAAAAGATTATATTTCACGTTGTAGTAAAATTTACGATGTAGGTTGAGACATTCTGTTTTGTTTTTACTGCGATAGCAGTCCCGACACTCGACGAGTTCAAGTCGTCGATGTCTGCTCAAACGTTTGTTGGTCGATGTCTGCTCTCAACTACAGCGCCTCGCCCGTTTCAGTGGCTGGAGAAGGGGGGCCACGTAAGCGACAGGGTGCGGTGCAGCGTGGAGTGGGTGAGCGGCAGAGTATCGTCGAGTACGACGTTTAATCTCCCAAACATAGGGCGGTTACACAAGATTCTGACGCCATCAAAGGGGCGGGCCCACGAGAGGGAATAGAAGAAATGCACCCAGAACGCACACACGAGCATCGAGGATATCTGTTCTGCCACTTCTGCTGTCGCTGTCTCTCATCTTCCAAGATAGTGTAGATGTGCTGACACTTTTTTTTATTGGGAATGCTTTGACGATCTTGCATCCATAGTACTGACGGTGTCCACCGTTGAGTTTTGACCTGTTTTGATGTGCATCCAAAGCCCTTTCTTTTTTGCATGAGCTGGAATGGGATGTGTTGGGTGCTCAGCTCCCGATGTTACCTCATTTTAGTGTTCAGATAGGCGACCCTTAATGCTAAAATGCAAAAGACGCAATTTCGTGGTTGCTCTTGCATGTCCTTCGTTTTTCAAATTCATTTGAAATGTGTTTCGAACTGGAAACAAATTATGGATGTTACATGCCTGGTTCATGGTGCTCCTGTGCTGTGGAGGGTTCTGGCATGATGCCTTGCTCTTTCTCAGCTCTAAAAGAATCTAAATAAGCGAAAAAAAGATTCCAAATAAAAGAAACTTTGCAAATAGGCATTCAACAATTCATATTGATCCAAGAAATGGGAACGACGATAATGTAAACTTGATATGTGACACAATAAATAATGTAGTGAATGTTACGTACCTTGTGCACTGTTCTCCGGTGCTGGAGGGGCTTTTGGCGTGAGCCTTAGTTCTATCCCGGCAGTGCTTAAAGTGTCTAAAGTAAGCAACGAAGAGAAATTTCAGATTAAAGAAAGTTTGCAGATATGACTGATTATGACAACCATGTTGAAATAAGAATGCTTAAAATTGAGAGGATAAAAACACGAAGGACGACAACAAAGCAACCACATTCTTTCACATCTTCGTGTTTTTTAACCTTTCAATTTTAGGTGTTGCACATATGCATTCGATAAATCCTAATACAGTACACCGTGCATTTGTGAATGAAACAGGAATATTGTCTCGCTGTCGGCCCGCAAACAGTTGTAAGTGTTACGTGCCTGGTGCTGGGTGCTCCTGGCCTGGGGAGGCCTCTGGCATGATGACTTCTTTTGCCTCGGCAGTGCTTGGCGGGTCTAAATTAAGTTACAAAAAGAGATTTCAAACAAAAGAAAGTTTGGACATACGCATTTCACAATTCTCAGTAGGGATGTCGCGAACCACCCTCGGTTCGATTTCGAAAGGTTTCGATATTTGCGAAGCGAACTGAGGTTCGATTTCGAAAAATTTCGATATTTTCGTACCGACCGAGGTTCGATTTCGAAAAATTCGCAACTTTTGTCCACAGCAGAGTTTCGAATTCGAAAATTTCGAAGCTTTCACGGTTTCTAAAGTTTCGAATTCGAATATTTCGAATATTTTTTACTTCAGGTTCGATAAATTCGAATATTTCGAAATTCTTTGTAAAACAAATTCGAAAACTTCGAACGCTTCGAATTTTTATAGACATAAAGTTCGAACAATTCGAAGATTTCGAATTTCTTTTGGCATAAAGTTCGAAAAGTTCGAAAGTTTCGATTCTCTTTTAACGCTAAATTCAAAAAAAAAAAAAAAACTTTCGAAGATTTTGAATTTTTTTCTAATCCAAGCTTTCAAAGTTTGAAGTCCGATTTTCAAGTTTTTCTACAGTTTCAGTTTCAAATAACGTTTTCACGACTCACTGGTTTTCACAAAATCAAGTTTAGAAAAGTTAGGGTGTGATATCTAGATTGTGCGAAGTTGGTCAGGCAATTAAATGAGACACGAGTGTCCCGGACGTGCTAGAACATTTGCCAGAGCCCCGGGAGGAAGGGGGGGGGGGGGGTCTTTAACCTGCATTACGCAGTAGTGATTGCACGAACACACTGTTTTACGAGACTCATCCAGTTCGAAACGGCCAGGGGCGAGCAGGAGGTTGAAGCTCAGAAAAACCTTGAAGCGACCTGGCAAACTACCTCGCCACCCCTTGCACGCTGGTAGTAATCCGATCCGGTGAAGTTTATAATTGTCCTGGAGGTTTATTTTCTGGGACGGAGGAATCGCCTCGCAAAAAGCACAAAAGCCGACACAACTCGAGGTCGAGGAGCGTTCTACCATACAAGTGGCGTCGGAAGAGGAAAAACGGGGGGAAAGAGGGTAGCGGGGGGGGGGGGGGGGGAGGGGGGGCTTCAGCCTCTTTTTCCCCCTTGCAGGTATTTCGGACTGTTAAGGAAAACAATACGGGGAAAGAGGGCGTGGTCGAGCTTATTTTAATCTGAAATTATTTATGCATATGTATAGCTACTGTCGCTCTTCACTGCATAAAAGGTTGCGTAGATGGTCACTGTTAGAAACTCGTTGTCAGAAGGCACTGCTCGTCACATGCTTAGTGGTTCGGAAGTTCAAAGCTATGTCTTTTCGACCTAAACACCTGTGCCGATAGTAACAAAAGAAAAAAAAAAAAAAAAAGAATAAATGCGGGAATAAAAAGCAGGAAAAAAAAAAAAACTATCAAGAATTCGTCGGGAGTGTTTTTTTTTTTGCATATTCAGAGGTTCAGAGCTTCGAAACAAGTTTCTTTTATTAAAATGTGTACAGGCTAAAAGAAACACGTCCCAGGAACGTGAAGCGGAAAAAAAGAAAAACGTTTTCTTTTAATGACGTGCTGAACTTGAACACTACTAGAAATCTTCTGCAATGAGTTAATTTACTCCTTAACGTGAAAAAACAATAAATATATTATTTTGTATTCTGCAGATGGCAATGATATGTACTGTCTGTGGTGTTAATTTAAATGCGATAACTCAAACAACATAGACGAAAATAAATATCAAGTTTAGGTCATAATTGCATGCAGATACATGTTTGGACATTTCTTCGAAACTCACGTTGAATAACAATAATCACATCTTAAGACGGCACTTACCTAGGCTATACATAGATCATTCTTAAAAAATTATAACATATCTACCATAAATAGCTCCGGCTGCAGCGTGCTTCAAATCTGGCACAAACGATAATCGTCAAAAACCCGTCGTCCGTCCTCGCCCCTTCGGGGATTTATTTCTTTAAACCTAAGCATGCCAGAACATTGAAATAAATGACATTGTCTTTCGTAAGAAACGCAGCACCGCGTGTAAAAGTTCGAGAAAAAAATTACGAATGTACCCCACTACTTGAAATCAAATGAAACCGTCCGCCGGTCTTTCGAAGTTCGACGAACGTCGAACTTTTACCCTAAAAGTTCGAAGTTCGTCGAACTTCTGACTTTTCAGAAATCGAAAGTTCGAAAATTTTCGAATTTTCTTGATAAATAAGTTCGAAAGTTCGAAATTAATCGAATTTTTTGGTCAGTCAAGTTCGAAAGTTCGACAAGCATCGAACCTTGCAGCGCAATAAGTTCGAAAGTTCGAAAAATATCGAATTTTTTAGCGTAATAAGTTCGACGGTTCGAAAAGCGTCGAACTTCTTAGCTTAACAAGTTCGAAAATTCGACCTCCGTCGAATTTTACGATATAGACAATTCGAAAAATCGAAATCTTTCGAACCTTTCGAACCGCTTGATTCGATCATCGAAACTTCGATTCGAAAAAAGTTCGCGGCATCCCTAATTCTCAGTCCACTACTCTGCATTTGTCAAGAGAGAGAGAAATAACTATATTGAGATAAACTGGTGACTTCCTGTCGGGTCGAAAAGTAGCGAATCTTACACACTTGGTGCAGTGTGCTGACACCACTCTTGCAGAGCATGGAAGTGCCGTCCGACAGCACTCCACTCATGCCTTCAAGTGCCGTTTGAAAGTCCCATACAAAGCTAATTGTCAAAACTAGTTTTTCGAAGCTGTAACTTAGCTTAGTGGTGAGATGCCTGCCTCATACGCAGCGGACCCGGGTTCAATCCACAGTGTGGGCTTACTTTTTTTTTTTTTTCTCAGACATTTTTTGCTGAGGCGTTTGATGATATTTAAGACATGTTTCTTCTACGATTATCACTGACAAGGGAAAAAAAAAGAATGTTGTCGACGAATCTTTGCTGAACAAAATTGTATGAAATTCGCTTAACAAAATTGTATGGGACTCCCTTTCCGGAGGTGCATGGGGGACAGCGGGGCTTGGGTTGATGGCTGGACGTACGACGGGGCCATTGAGGGTTAATAGTTTTGTAATTAGCAGCCGCATATTGTCGCCGCGAAGCGGCGTGAACACAGGCCGGGAAGGGGAGGGTTTAACGAGCTCCCCAGTGATACACGCGCCTTCCGACTTTCTTTCGGACGACACTTGTAAGCGCGAGTGGAGTGCCGTTGGGCGGCACTGTAGACACAGCCAAAAAAAGAAAAACGAACGGAGCATGATCGCCAGAATGTGTACAACAGATCATACGACCAGCATGAACCGTTACACCACCGCCGCTCAGACAATACGGGTTCTACTTACTGCTCAGAGTCACTGCAGGTACTCCTGGCAAGGCAGGAACCGCGGGAACACGAGCTGGGTCGTTCCGGCGTCGCTTTGCTCGCTCGTATTTCCCAACGCGGTCTACACGCTCAGGCCGCTTGAACGCGAAAATGCTCGGGACGTAGTCCGGGTGGTCCGCATCGCTCGTCGGTGCTCCTGCGTTCATGAAGGAACATCAAGACAATACTCTTGCGACAAAAGTTATCCGTAAACTTTACCCGTCAGAAAGTGCTTTCCGCACAGGCGATCCTCGTCCGACGGCGTCCAGTCCTTTCTTTTCACAGCGTCGGTCCACACACTCCGACGGTTCGGGCAGGCAGGGAAACGATAAAATCCAATCGCCGAACCTTTCCGGGCTCTTTCGGTGCAGCCCCAAGCTACACAACTCTGAGGCATTGCAACAAATAGCAAGGTATTGATGTTTTCTTAACAGAAGTCCATAGCCCTGCCAGCCTCGCCTGGTTTGTTTTGCCCACCAAAAAAAACCGGAAGTACCGGAAGTGCGCTCGAAGCGCCACCACCGCGCCGTGACGTAACAGAGTTGAGTTGGTGCATAGATTTCACCAAGGCGTTTGACTGCCTCAATCATAAAATTTTACTATCTAAATTAGATAATTATGGAATTCGAGGGCACGCTTTACAGCTGATAAGATCTTATCTGAAGCATCGATCACAATATGTTTATATCAATGGGAATTCTTCTACTATAAAACCTATTCCTTCTGGTGTACCACAGGGTAGTATATTAGGCCCCTTCCTCTTTAACATGTACGTGAATGATATAGTCAATATTAATGTAAGCGCAAAATTTGTAAACTATGCTGATGACACGAGCATACTGTTTTCTGCAGATGATCCTGACCTATTATTCGATATGGCGAATCTGGCCCTGTCTAGGTTACAAACGTGGAGTCATAACAACGCATTACCAATAAATGTAAATAAAACCAAAGCCGTGCTTTTTTGTCCTAAAAATAAACTCGTTACCATTACCAAGGAGATAGTTTTGAATTCAACCAAAATCGAGATTGTGAATTGTTTTAAACTCTTAGGTGTCATGTTTTCTGAAAGTATGTCGTGGGAAAGTCATATAAACTCTCTTATTCCAAAGCTATCCCAAACTGTGGGCATGTTAAATCGACATCATTATATTTTACCAACAAGCGTTAAATTATTAATATATAATTCTCTATTTTATTCTCACTTAAATTATTGCCATTTAGTTTGGGGAACAACAACTTTAACAAACCTAG